AATAACTTATAGCCGTCCGTAATCGGCCACAGAGTCAAAGCACAAGCGACCTTCGCGCCGCGAACACATCCTGCGTGCATGCACTATAAAATAAAACACAACAAATACTTACAAAGTACACAATAAATAAAACAAAAACTTCGCGGTCCGGTTTAGTTAGTTCCCCGCGTTTGCTTCGTGTATAAAAGCGAAAAAGGAAAAGCAGAAATGTCCGCTTTGAATTTCAGTTACGTTTAAAACGTTTCGTGGAACATTGTGTTGTGTCAAGATAAATATATTTGGTGTTATTGAAAGCAAGCCATGAATTATCTAAGTTAAAATAAGATAACATTATCTAGGTGAATGTAAAAGTGTCAGTGTTGTGAACTGGTTGGCGTTCTTAGTTTCTGGTTTGTGTATAAGTGTCTATTGAATTATTTGCAACTTTCATTCGGAGCGTCCTCTCGATTAGCATACGAGTGAGTTACTTTGCATATATTTAATGCCACACGGTGCGCCTACACAGTTTGTGGGTCAATACACTTCGCCAATTACCTACAAAACTTGAGAATCGGAAAACGTTCGATTATTTTTTTCTGTTTACCTACTATTCTGTGGAAATTTTTTTTAATACCATATTTAAACATAATAACTTTGTTCAACTGGGTCATTAGCACAATCGTGTACAATTTGCTAGAAAAAATAAGAGAAAAATATGATAATTTTATTGTAGTAGCTACGAGCACGACCATTGCTGATAAATATAAGGTAATTACAAAATACATATACGGTGTAGTGAAGTGACCGATACATACTATTTTCTGGACTTATCAATAACCGGGCTACGATAACTAAGATAAGAAGCGATTTTTTCGTCATACTTAGGTATAAAAAGTTTCAACAAGACTATTTAATTAAAACATAAAAGTATTAATTATTATTACCTACCTCGTATTTGTAAGAATGTCACTTCTGAAGGGTGTTTAAAAAAATATTAACGAGTAAATAAAATGTCTCCAGAATATCTTCTTGCTTCTGACTGTGAAGTGAAATACCCTAAACAAATATTTATTGAAAAAAAAAAAATAACTTGAGCGTTCCTTTTTTAACTGACTTCAAAAAGAAAAAAAGGCTGTTATCCTCTAACGGGTAACCGGGGCTCCGGCTCGACCTGCAGGAGAAGGAACGGGGTGGTTTTTAGTCAGTAAGAGTCTGACACTCCCTCCCGCCTCACCCAGGCGGGAGCAGTCATTCGATGATTTTCACCCCTTAAAAAAAATCCTTTGACCTGTATGTATGTATATATGTGCACGATTATCTCGCGATTAACTGAATCGATTTTGACGCTATTTTCAGAAAAGTGTTTGTTACACTTCGGAGATGGTTTCAGTATATTAATGAACCGACTTCATAAGACAGCGGGTTGAAGTCGGTAGTTTGTTAAAGAATTATTAACAACTAGAGGTGACTACGAATATTTTGTAACAAACGACATCGTGGACGTTGTTATTATTTATATGAGTGATATTGAGTAATGTAAATAACGCAACAATGTTTTTATACACAATAGATTAGCAATCACATTCATATTTTCAGGAAATAGGAAACAAAAGAAAACGTAGATAAAGTTAAGAAAATACTTGACTGATCTATATCTATATACATATACGTAATTATTTTTACTTATATATCATATATCTATATACTAGCTTCTGCTCGCGACTTCGTACGCATACCATCCCATTTTTTCCCGTCCCCGTTCGTGACTTTCGGAAAAAAGTAAAAAAAAAAAATTTGGTTAAAAAGTATCCTATGTCGGTCTCCTGGCTCTAAGCTACCTCCCTACCAATTTTCAGCCAAATCTATTCTGCCTTTCTCGAGTTATAAGTGGTGTAACTAACACGACTTTCTTTTATATATATAGATATAGATATAGATATATAATATATATATATATAAATGAATTCCTTCTTCCCTTGGTCACGGCATCACGCGTGAATGGTTTGACCGATTTCACTAATTCTTTTTTTGCTGTATTTGTTATTATTAGGAGAAGGTTTTTATGACAGAAAAACACCTGAAAATCCTACGGGAACGGGACAAAACGGGATTGCGCGTACGAAGTCGCGGGCAGAAGCTAGTACTTAATATATAAAACTGAAGAATTTGTTTGTTTGTTTGAACGTGCTAATCTCAGGCGCCACTGGATAGTAGATGGATAGATGAATTAACGCATATGAACGACAGTTCTCTATATGCAATGACAAAGTTAAAATATCTACCGTACCGAACATCTCAATAGTTCAGTGGCGTAGCGTATCTTGACGGGGCCCCATATAAAAATTTGTTTGGGGGCCCTAATGAAAGGTAAAAGTTTCTCAGAAGATTTTTAAAACCGGTAAGCTTTTCAGGTAACTCCCTCTGCCCAAATTATCGGACAATGATAACATTAGTTTTTCCAAAGTTTCTGGCCATAGAATAGATTTCTCTTTTCCATGGTTTCTGCCAACCTTTGTACGTATGCATTTTGTGATCACTAAAATATATATTGAGAAGTTTTTATATTTTTGCTTCACACGTTGGGGGCCCCATATGATTGATACGGCAGATACGGCGCTAGCTACGCCCCTGCAATAGTTAGTAAGTTTTATTTAATAAATTTGTCGAGGAAGCCTTTAAGCTATAAATCATCACGCTGTGATCAATAGGCGCAGAACAGACCAGTTGGAACCACGCGAAAATAGCTAGTAATATATTATAATACATTTGAAGACTTTGTTTGTTTGTTTGAACGCCATAATCTAAGGAACTACTATTCCGATCTGAATAATTCATTTTGTGTTGGATATTTTATTTTTCAAGGAAGATTACTTAAGTTGTAAAAAATAACATTACGAATACGATCAATAAAAAAAAGCCGAACAGCGAATAAAACCGCGCGTGTGTAATGTTTCAGATTAAATCTGATCTTATCATAGAGTTTAGGATTATCTACAAGAACATTTAATTGTCATATATTGTTCTCATTATCGGACACTTATTGTTGCTTGTTCTACAGCTAATTTATCAATGTGTTTTACAATAAAAAGTTGAGTAGGCCAAACAGGCTTTTAGTTGGACCAAAAGTTTTGTAGATATAAGTTGTGTTTCGAATTAAGTTTAGGTAAGTAATAAGTTTTATAAGTGTCATATTTATCATGTCATATAGAGGTAGACGTAAGGTTAGAAACTATGTAAGTATTTTTATGTTTTATGTTACTAGCGGACCCCGCAAACATTGTTTTGTTTTGTTTTTTTTTTAGCGTATAATTTTATTAAACTAGAACTGTCTTGTAACAATTCTACAAAAAAAAAAACGAAAGACTTTGCTAAATCGGTTCAACTGTTCTCGAGATTTTTGTGTCTTTTTTTTAAGGTGGGAAAATCATCGAATGATTGCTCCCGCCTGGGTGAGGCGGAAGGGCGTGTCAGACTCTTACTGACTAAAAACCACCCGGTTCCTTCTCCTGCACGTCGAGCCGGAGCCCCGGTTACCCGTTAGGCTCTCCGCGACAGATTTTTGTGTCTAGCAACACATTAGAACATATTTTTTTTATGAAAATTACAGTTAATTATGAAATAATTATTATATTTTGTAGGAATATACATCTATTTATATTACATTTGTATAAGAACGTTTGTCATTGACGTTTGTTTACAAATTGTTGTTACACAAGTACACTACACATATCTGCGTCACCCTGTGGTTGACTGTTAGAAAATACCATCTGGCATTATGTCCACTCGCGTTTACAAAGAATATAAAATAAAAAAAAACATTATGTGGCAGACTTTAGTACATTACAACTCGGAAATGTCTCTTCAATCGATTTTTTAACTTGTGACATAATAATTATAACATTTTAACTTTATTGATTGTAATATCTATTTTGCATGCCGAAAACAGTAGGCGATGTATGTGGGACTATTTTTTATAATCATTATCACCTGTAATTACCATACTCCGTGCAAATAAACATTCTTATTTCTTATAATATAATTCTCCTAGGTTTATAAACTTACAGTTGTTTTTATTTTCCGGTATATATACCGTATATAACACGTAATATGTTATGTATGTGATTATTTATTTATATTGAAAAGTACATACTTAAATATAAATAATGGCGTGTTCGGAAGTCTCGAGTGATAGTTCCGATGCGCAGGCGCAGTGCCCATACTCGTCTGCGTAAGTTCCGTTAGCTTGCACGCGAGCGTCGCGCGGTGAGTTTACACAATGAGACTGCATCCATGTTTGGATGAGCCATATTATTAAACATAATAAACTTATAAATAAATATTATATTGCTCGTGACTAATGACTTATGAAAGAATATGAAATTTTGAATAAGTTTCCAAGGTATATATTATACTATTCTACGGCTGTAGCAAAGGGTATCAGAATCGATTCAGAACTTAAGTTATGTTTATTGTGAAATTAATTAACTTCCGTGATTTAGAGGCTGTTTCACAATATCTGTGCCTTTAGCCAAATGCTACTTTAGCGCTTGTCTACCGAGAGAGTACAAAACTAAATGTATGGGGATGACACTGACAAGTGTCAAAATTTACGTCAATTCCATATATGTAATTTGGTTTTCTATTCTACATGTAGACAAGCGCTAAATGGCATTTGACTACAGGTGCTGGATAGCCGTTATCTACCAGATAAATTTGAATTAAGAACGTAATTATGTAACTGGTGCTGGTGAAACCGGCGCTTAATAAAAAAACAATCTCGTAGTTGTTTAATACATGAAATGTGACTATATGTTGCATAGAATCAACTTAACACCCGTCTCCATGAAAGATAGATATGTAGATAGAGTATAGCACAACAGATATAGATTGTCAACAGTAAAACTGTTAATGGCCGTCTGGTAATTTAATTAACACTTATCTTGATTACTTAGTTTATAGCTCTCAATAATTTTATTGTACTTTCGTATCGGTAATAGGTAGTGAATATAGTGTTTCTTATAATGGTGCGTCCTTATCTTAAGAACGTAGAATCACCAAAATTGCGCTCGCGTAATTCGCAAAAGTTGCGAGCAGCGCATTCGACAAATGTGGACAGGACAGGCCATGTCATGAAAATAACAAGAACAGTAAGTTTATCAATTTCCTAGGAAAACTAAGAACTTTCTTAGGATTAAAAACGAGAAACAAATTGTATTATCATTGACCAATTAAATATTAGGAAATTTATAAGCTTACGGATCTTGTCATTTTCCGGTGACAGACACATCATTATATTATGTACGTGATATCCTTCATTTTTACCCAATTTTTACTAGTTTTTACCAGATATCTAAGCAGCCTTAAGATCCTAGAAGAATACTTATGAAAAAAAAAAATAGCTGATATCGAATGGTCTTTGTTACTGCCTATAAAGCTTTCTATTAGAGGAAGCATATTTCAAATTGCTCGTCTAGTTTAAGAATTCAGAGCCTATTCAATGTAAACAATCCATATTTTTCTCACCAATTTTACAGTCACATATGTATGTGACACACACGTTAGAACAGAACCGTATCACTAATGTTAGTGATACGATTCTGCAGTTATGAGGTAGATAAATCTCGTAAACGTTGTACGAATATAGAACACTTTAATTGCCTACTCCCATGGGAGACAGGCGTGAAGTTATGTTTGTATGTATGTGTATGTAAGACGGGTTTTATATTACCTATACGAAGTTTTTTAATTTAGCATATTTTTAATAATCCCTATGGAAGCTAAAAAGCGTGTTGTTTTTACGATTTAAATCACTGTTCACTATTCCGATTCATTTAATGACAACAGAAATATAATAGATAGTATCTAAACATGTATCCGTAATTGTAGTAACATAAAGATAAATATACGTATTGCTATGTAGATACAGCTGACAATAACATTACAATGTTTTGTCGATGAATATTGGGGAAATGAAAATAATTGAAAAATACCTCAAGTTTGTCTTATAAAAAACTAATTGACTCATAAATTGTAGGTAATGTTTTTCTTTATCTTAACATTTTTTTATGTTTTAGTCTTTGTACGACAAATGTTTTTTAACTTTAAGTGGCGTAGGAACGATAAAGAGTTTTTTTTTTTATTAAAAACTGATTCATATTGTCGTTAAATTGTAATTTTTGTTTGTTTGACAGAGAGCCATGGCGAAGTTGTGTCTTATGACCATTTTGGTCATATTATTGGTGCAACTCATCACATTTAACCGCGCATACATTTCATCAGATGACGCTACAATCGCCCATACATATACGTAAGTATTACTGTAATATTAGAAAACTTAACCCTCGCCATATTCCAGTTCCCGCCATCTTGACTTTTCATTTCTTAATCCACAGATTATATTTTCCTGCTACGCGATGACGGTTCTTTTTTTGTCTATGTTTATAATTTAATACTATTTAGTTGTAAATTCAACTGCCAGGAAAGGAAAGGGATCTTCAGGTTCCAGCTAGGATATATCCTGTAACTTTAAATTCGAAAGATCGAATTGAACTCGATCGCGGTCTGCCATGTTATTCGTGGTGAGTATAATCTCAATGACGGGCCGTGAATGTGATGGAGCTCACTTCGAAAGTGTCAATTGGCAGTTACAGAATATACTTACAGATCAGGCAAAGCATTATTATTTGTTAGTTTTTCGATCTCAGTAAGACAGCATTCTTACAGATCTTTAGATAGATCCGGACACCGGTGTTCTTTCTCCAATCTCCACTCACTCCATTATATAATACAAAATTAATTTAACACAATATTATATTCCAATGGACGTTATTACCGATGTTTAGAGACTTATGAATGAACAACAAATTACTTTTGTATGAACAAATTTCGTGGATTTTTCGTAATCGTACTGCGAAATCAAACTCGCCTACTAGACGCAGTGATTATGGCAAACTCCTTTTATCTAGGGGAAGATATATAAAAAAGTAACTACATAAGTATCAGTGATAATGTTCCTTCTCTTTTACCAGGCCAGCATGGAGGTACAGGTGTGTACCAGACCAGGGTTGCGAGAGAACGTCACACCCACAACCAGGTGTGGAGATAACCACCAGGAACAACAGTGGCATGCTGTTTGCCAGTATGGACGTCTGCCGGACAGTCTGTGGCAGATTTGGTGGACTCTGGCCACGACCTGTAACAGCTGCTATTGGCTTACAAACTGTTAAAATTCATCCGAATTATTTGAGGTGAGTATTTCTTTTTATTTAAGCGTAACTTGCGTAAAATGCTCAATGTGTTAAGTAAAATCGCGGGTTTTTTTTTTTTTTTTAATATTAAAGATTATTTCTCCACGGACTCTAGGTCCGTGCCCTTGTCATACAGTTTTTTAATTATAATACATCTAGTCAATTTTTATAAAGTAAAGAGGGAACCTAGTTACATACTACAATTAACTACATCTATAATTATTAGCAAAAGTATAGGTTACATAATAATTAGGCACTATTTATTTATTTCTATTTCAAAGGCTTTATGAAACCAGCCCACCAACAAGATGGGAGAGCCGACCTGACCCAGCAGAAGGCACCCGTTCACGAGTATGACGTGTGTGTCAGCAATTGGTCCGGTCAACCTTTTTATTGGGAACGGAACAACCCAACACACAGCGCCACCGACTGTAGGACATTTATGTGTGCATGACGCCTCAACCCTTGCCACATGGGCCGATTCCAATAAAGCGTACAATAGTCCAAAGTCAATTGGTCATATTCTATTTCTACATGTTTCTGCACACACATTTCCTCATGTTGCATTCGTTCCATCACAAGCAACACTCCCCGCCCAAGAGAGCACCCATGACTGCCGCGTCCCTGTGTTTGATGGCCATTTTCAGGTTGTAGTCCTTAATACCCTGCTCACCCTCATCAGCCGCCTTCCTGATTAGTTTGCTTATCGCGTCTTCACTGTTGTCTGTGTAATAGATGCAACCATGCGTGTGACGCGATATTGCTACTACCGCGTGTGGTACGCTGTCATGTATTTGATGTTTCTTTGTTGCTGTGTTGACAACAATCACATTCGCACACGAAAGTCCCTGTGCCTCGTGTATCGTGAGCACGCGTGATCCCACGGTCGACCCGTATCCCTGGTTCTTAAGGGATTCCTTCTCTGCCTGAGTGTGTACCAGGTATAAAGTGTCGGGGAGTGACTTTGGAATCATCGCCCCCGAGAACCTTTTTATCTCGAGGGATCTCACGAACGACCTGGACGAATATATGCCACTGTAAACTGTGCTGAGGGCATACGCCACATCCATTGGATTTCTGTGGGTACACATCAATTCCTGGCTTATGGGCGTGATATATGTAGGGCGGCTGTAGAGTAGAGGGAAGAGGTTATCACGATCTATAAACGGAAGCTGATTTATGTCACCAATTAGAAGGACTTCCTTGGCTCGAGTTATTCGGGCGGCCATCACAACGGCTCCAAAGTGGTTCATGAGAGCCTCATCTACCATTAGGCGATGGCAGCTCTCTCGCTCCCCCAAGCCGTTTACTAGGATGGACGCCATTGTTCGAACCCTAGATTTGACGAGTCCTCCGATTCGGCAGGATAGTTTGCCTCTGAGGTCATTTGCTGCTTCGGTTGTCGTGGTGACAATTAGATCTTTGCCCGCTAGTAGAGCTTTTCTCAGTATATTCACGTGAGTAACCCGCGATTTTGCTTAATTTAGTATGCTCAATGTGCGTGATTTTTCCTGTTTTATATTTTTACTGCTATTTTTTTGACGAATAAGTACCTACCTACGGCTCGTAAAATATGACCAACATTATTTTGTGATATCTTTTCAAGTCATTCACGTGTTATGCTTCTAATATTTAGTGCCATATTAAGGGAATGTAGGTACTATTTATTTGTTATTTCACGGTCTAACCATTTCTAGATAATTATTAATGGAAATATGTAAATGTGAAAACAATCAATCATAATTGATTATAATTTATTGTCATACCTAAAGATACGAACTAGTTCTAGTACGTAACTATACAGTGACTTATTAAACTGTCAAACACCGCGAGGACACCGGTGACCGCACCCTATTGTTCTTTAATTGTGTCTATAATGACGGTACTCAAAGAGTATTTATAAAAAATACTATTATACTTGTATGACCTTCATTGTTCGTTTCTTACGTACGGACGTAGCACGTAGGTCTAATCTTTAATAGAATTTTGACCTTATTACAAAGTCAAATCAAAGTCAAAGTATTTATTTCCATTACAACTTAATTAGGCACTTGAATTGTCCGTCCGTCTGTCTGTCAGTGAAGCTAGGAGCTCGTTCTAATGTCTAGTTTCGAACGGAGAACAATGAGCAAGAAACTCCAAAACAGTAAAGTCGATAAAATTATCGACTGGCTGGGTACATTTTACATACCTCCAGTGTTTGTAAAAAACAAAAAAATGTTATGTAAGTAGGTAACGTATGCACTGTAAAGCAAAAAAATCTACCTATTATACTAGGTAATACCTAAGTACTTATGTAATAGGCAGTTAAAACTGCCATCTCATTAAGCTACCTCTTATTAAGTAGGTAAGTACTTTACAGAGGAAAAAAGAAATAAAAAAAAAAAATACTAAAAAATGTTTTTCTAAAAGCAGAGCAATAAAGATGTTTTGAATTTTAGGCAATATTTGAAGATGACACAGTTATTAATTTTGAAATTATAGGAAAAAATCATCGAATGACTTCTCCCACCTGGGTGAGGTGGGAGGGAGTGTCAGACAGCAGACTCTTACAGACTAAAAACCAGTAAACCACCCGGTTACTACTCCTGCCCTTCGAGCCGGAGCCCCGGCAACCCTATAAATCCTCCGCGGCGAATCTGTAGCATACGCATGAATATTATAATGAACCTTGAATTAATGAAAGACACATAACATAACATAACGTCACGCCTTTTATCCCCGAAGGGGTAGGCAGAGGTGCACATTATACCACTGTACAATGTAACACCCACTTTTCAGTATTTATGTTATGAGTCCCATGTAATAGGGGGTGAGCCTATTGCCATATACCGGGCACAGTTCCAGACTCCGTGCTACTACTGAGATTTTTTTAAAAAACCCAGTAATACTTTGCCCGACCCGGGAATGAATGACGACCCGAAACGGGTTAATGAAAGAACCTCACTTTAATCTTACCAATAAATAAATACGAAAGTTTGTAAGTTTTAGTGTATGTTGTCAACTGTACTCAACCATGTCAAAATTGCTGAACGGACCGGGATGAAATTTGGTACTTGTTATAGTCTGCAATATAGCACATAGGCTTTTTTATACCACGGGAACGCTGAAATGAAATGAAATGAAAAGAGTTTTATTCGGCATACGGCATGAATGCAAGGAACAAAAATAATAATACAATGCAATTGGATTGCGCTGGGAAAGTTGTTGACATAAGCTAGTTACATTACAAACTAACTCCGTACGTATCACATAATAAACATACGACTAATATGTAGGTAGGTATATATACTATGACATTTATAGATATCAAGTCCAATTATTATTTTTTAATAGGCACCGTATCGTATGCGAAGGCCCATTTTATTCATCATTTGCACGCTCATAAAGTTTCCAATTAATTGACAGATTCATTTGAAAAAAGAATTGTTACCTACTTTATTATGACTAGTGATGTACGCTAATTATACTGAACACGTTTAATTTATCGATGGTTTAAATTACTAGAAAAAGCTACGTAAACGTAGGTAGGTTGCCAATTTTAACACATTGGATGCCGTGGCGGACAATGATGACCGACACTAGGAGGATTAGTTTTTTAACTGTTTTTTTCGGCAGTTAAAGGCTTAAACGATAAAATACTTAACTGTTAAAAAAAATCACTAATATTTTTAGATGATGTGAAAAAATATCGAAAAAACAACGAATACTTAACGTAAAATGATAATTATATTGACTATCGCCTTACCCAAATAAAAAAAAAACTTTAAAAAAAAGATCAATGACTGGATGATATCATTGTTTTAATGTGTCAGCTTAGGCTGTTATAGTAGCAAATAAACATAATAAAAATAATAATAAATATTTACATATATGATCAAACTTCCTAAATTTTTTTGCCTTCATTAAAAATCCGGAATACCTAGTTTGGACAAGAGGAACAGTGAATTTAGAGGACAATGTAAAATCTTAAACAATTTTTTTTATTAATTATGTCATACGTGTATCTGTTTTAAGTTTTCACCCACCTAAAAGAGCTCTGGCACGAATAGGGCGCTTGACCGGCGTAATACGGCCGGCACAGAAAACTGACGTGAAACAACACTTGTGTTGTGTTTCATCGTGTGAATGAGGTTACCGGAGACCCAATTACCCTCCTCCCAAGTTTTCTCAATCTAGAATCCCCAACAATCCTCCAAATTCCTAATCCCCAAAACGCCGTCTCTGGTGTTTCGGGAGTCCATGGGTGGTGCCGATTGCTTACCATCACCGTAAAAGATTGGATCACTGTTTATTTTAAAAAAATGTTACAATAACAGCAGTAATCAGGCGATTTTATTTTTAACCTGGCCAATGATGATAGAATTGTTAGATTGGATGAATTAAAAAGTCGACGATCGACAACAATGATGTTTCACCATAAGAACATAGCGATAATAATTTTCAACTAAACAGGAAATATTTGCTGAACGTGAACACTCTTCAATCAAATTTAATTTTATCATATCAATTAATTTTGACCCGACTCCTTGACTATACAAGGAAAAAGTGCAATGCATAAGCATGTGTCTGTGCTGGTTGGATGCTGTCATTCTCTGGTAATAGAAGAACTGCAAAATTAGTTTCCAAGTTCGATAATTCTCCGCGGAGAACATAACGGGTTACCGGGGCCCCGGCTTGAAGTGCAGGAGTAGGAACGGGGTGGTTTTTAGTCAGTAAGAGTCTGACACTCCCCCCTTTACCCAGGCGGGAGAAGTCATTCGATGGTTTTCCCACCTTAAAGAAAAATGTTCGATTATTCATTTTTGTTCCGTAAAAAAATTGAAACCAATTAGTAATCAAAGTTCTCTATGAAATAGTGGAAAAAGTCATTAAAAAGTTAACTGTTATCGAATATTTGTTTCGCTCACAGTTCAATGTAATCGATTGTTTTGATTTAGCAATCAATAAACACTTAACACAATGGCTAGCGAAATGCAACTGTAATGAGTGAGCGAGTT